CCCCTTCTCCTCTAGATGACAAGGAAGACCAGTCATTGCAAGATGTCTGCAGATACAGCTCTTTAAGAGTTTCCATATTGTATGGTTACGAAAAAATGTGTTTGTGGTCCCTAAATCCCTCCCGACAACTTTCTAAAGTCATCTCGTGTTATGGTTTCCATTGTTTGGGCTGTATAAATCGTCTTTTGAAATTACACTCACTTCTCCCTCACGCCAAACCTGGAATCCTTTAGAAGGATAGAAACATTGAGATTTATCTGACAAGTGTGTGTGTGTGTTGGGGGAGGAGGGAGACTTTATTTCCACGGCTATCAGAGAGAAAGGAAGAAGAGTTCTAAGGAACACTTTACAAATTCGTGTTCGAAGTAACTTTGACGAATGATTTCTTCACTTAGCAAGTCGGGATTACAGATTTCCTTGGTACATTCAGGTCTGGATTTGATCTTAGTGTTTGGGTGTATGCCCGTTAGGTTACTGCAGAAATAAACTTGCGTCCCTTATTTCTGAAGAGGTCTAAAGGAGATACTTACCTGCCTGTTTTGATTATCGAATGAGCAAGCCAGGCCACTGGTCACACACAATATTTAAAAAAAATAATCATTTTATTCCCTCAATGATTGCAGTGTCTTTCTAATGATAAATTATGTTACTTAATCACAAGAGCAAAAACATCTATCGATCTATCTATCTAATCTTAAGGAAATGAATCCCCTCTGTTTTACAGAAGGAAAACACTTCACTTTTTCTCTTTTCTTTTCTCTTCCTTTCTCTTCTCTTCTCTCTTCCATAATCTAAACCACATACATCATCTGTATCTGTGAGCTCTCTCAATGCACTTGCTCGCCTCGCAGAGAAGTCCTGAATGTGCCTTTCCCCGTCCAGTTCCCTTGTGGGTCTGAGTGTCTGAAGAGTTTTCGCAGGGCTTTCTCTCCAAATTAGGTTGAAGACGATCACTCCTGGTTTCCTTTCTGCTGCTGCAAAATCAGTAGGGTGCCGATTTGTTACAACGGCTTCGTACACACACCAAATAAAAGCTTTGATCCAAACTTCCAAGTAAAGCAAAAAAAAAAAATGTAGGTTTCATTCATTAAACGTAGCGTCGAATGTTAAAAATGTTTTTCCAAATTCCCCAGGTATTCTATGGTGTTGCTCAGCCTGTGACTGTGAGGAAGATGAAGAGGAGGGTATAGGAGACCGGCAGGGGGGTCAGAAAAATACTAGTCTCTTCTACAGTTGTACAGCGATTTAAAAAAAAGTGTGGCATGTTTGGGTTTTGAAAACCTAAAGCAAGAACAAACAAACAAAAGGAGGGCCCGATCCCAACAATACTGATGCACACGGGTGTCTATAACCAGCGATACCGTGGGCTTGCTCACAGGGACACTCAAAGTGACTCCCATGTGTTTTCAGGATTGGGCCCTTGAGTGCTCAGCTATTGGGTATCAGATAGCCGAGGTCTCAACGAAAGAGACGGGACTTGCCACTTAGGCGCTCTCGAAAATACTGCCAATGCCTTTAGCGAATTTCAGTGCATTAATATATCGTTACACTGATTCGTACACAAAATAAATACACTTGGACATTAACGCAATGTACAACGATGTTCATTTTCTCCCAGTGTAATTACTGTACTTCTGTGGGTACACACACATATCGGGTGTATATTATCTCTGAGTGTATACACACACACACACACACACACATCATTTCTCCAGCCATATTCACATGCCTATTCAATACAACAATGCCTTTCTAAAGTGAAGGTTTATATTATTTTTGTCTTAGATTGAGCACCATCTGCGAGCATTGTTTGTATTATTTAAAGTTAATCTCTGAGCCTACATACATCTGTTGCATACATTTCATATTAAATGGAACCCATATGTTTATATTTATATATACCTGTGCAAAGCATGGCCCAATTCTACAAGCCTCACTCGGGCATAGTTTCTCCCAGCTGATTTGATTGATTGATTGATTGATTGATTGATTGACATAGTGGGAATCGCAGGCCTGGGCCCCTGGTTATATGAATA